TAGCAAAGAAAGAATGAGAATCATGTTTGTGATAGGCCTCCTCCGCCTCGGTAAGCTGTTGGTCCCATTTATCACGTCGCGCTTTGTTGGACTGCGAATGTAGCGCCTTGCGGGCTTTGACAAGTCGCCAATGAGCACGCCATAGATGAAAGGCAACACGAAGTGGAGGCCCAAGGGTATGTCGGCGAAGCTGCGCACGTGCCTGCCAAACATGTTTCAGCGAGAGCTTAGTCTGTTCGTTATCCCATACTTTCGTCGGACGAGAGCCGAGGCGTGTGCCCGGGAAGAGTTCCTGGGATCCATGTCGCAGGATGGCGTCAATGTGCATAGGGTGCATAATTGCATCCACGGGCTGGTCCTGTAAAGCACAAGTCAGCCGGTTTCTGACAACACTGCGCAGTTGTTCTACTTGCTGAGGATCGTGCAGCAGTGTGTGAGCCATGCCTAGATGGTCTATACGGGCTGTGTGGGACTGTGTCGAGGATGTCACTGCTTGATGATACGGATTCTTGAGAGTGATAACCGAATACACAGGCAGGTGTCGGGCCCCAGACCGCCAAGAAAACAAGTGAATCTGTGATTGTGGTCTGGATAATTTGGCGCGATGCCCGGAATCTCTCTCTCTGACACCCAGGAAGTCAATCAGTGTAGAATATTCCGCACCCACATATGTAGCAGTCTTGGCCGGCGATCCCCAGGTGTTCAGAAGACAAAGACGGTGCTGTTGTACAATGTCCTGCCATTCGGATTGGTCCTGAGCAGGTTTGGTACTGACTTGAGCACCTTTGCCGACGAGCCTCGACATCGGGGAGATACCAGTATTGATATCTCCACCAAAGATCAGGGTGTGCCGGGTCGGCACTGCATCCAGGCATTTTTGGAGCTTCTCCCAGAACCTTAGCCGTTTAGCGTACACCTCAGGACTGTGAGAGATTCTGGAGTGTTGATACGCGCACACAAGGGTGATGGGTCGGTGCAGAAGAGGACGTCTCTTGTCCTCCGTAATGCGAACCTCGAGATGACGGCCTGGGAGCCATTCTTGATAGCGAATGTGTGACGATGAGGCAAGCTTGTTGTTGATCAGTACAGCTACACCACTGCCATTATTGGCCTTGGCAGTTTGACCGGCACCTGACAGGATCCAGTGCCAATGCTGTGTGGAGAATTCAGATGCACTTCTCCAGGTCTCCTGCAAGAATACAATCTGAACATTGCGAAGTGTAGATGGTTGATTCAACCATTGTGCCAACTCGTCATATCCTTCCTTGCTCAAGCCGCCAACATTAAGAGTAACCACGCCAACATCACTGGACTGTATGGGAGTAACAGATTGTGCGGGCTGCTGAAGTGGCCAGGAGGGCAGGTTTGGCACAGCAGTGCGAGGCCGGGCATACCGAGCCTGATTGGGATCATTCGGCTGTGGACCGGAACGGAGCGGTATAGGTTTTAGCTCATCGTGGTGTGTGTATAAGCGATTGCGATACCATGTGGTCCCATGCTGTTGCAATCGACGTTGTGCTCTGAGAAAACTACGTTTGACGATAAAGTCTCCTTGTTCTTTGCGTTGTCGGTGTAGCTTCGCCTGATGGCGACCGGGGAGCACCGTTTGCGCGGCTCCCGGAGCACCCACCGAAGGTGCTCCAACCCTCGCTTCTACCCCTGAGACTCTAAGAAGTTGAGACAGTAGGATGAGCATCCATAGTCCCCAGGGGCCCCCGGACTTGGGACCGGGGCGGCAATAGCGAACTGGTGGGGGGGTGTGTCGGAGTGTAGTGGTACCGAGTAACCTGATGTAGACTCTCGTGTATGAATAGAGGCATCCACATGCATAGCAGTACCAAGGGTGCAGGTATCGCAACCAAGAGAAGGCAGTTTGCACACAGTATGTACCCCATTGACAGGTGTGTCGGATAGCATGCCAGGCAACAAATGTACCACACAAAAGCACTGTGGCAACAGCAGGGGCCTGATCGCATACGTTCCGCCATTGTGATCGTAGTGGCTGTTGTAGCAGGTACGAACAAATCTTTGCAAGGCAGGAGTGAATCTGAGACCAGAACTCTTGCAGCAGGTATATAACCATCCATAAGATCACCGGGCCTGACAGAAAGAGGTGGATCAGAGGACACTGCATTTTGTAGGCACCACGCAGACATCGAGCAATGATTGCCAGGGGAGCTGACCGTGCAGGCACGATGCCAGCAAAGGTCCACCAATACATAAGGAGGACCATGTACAGACCTGTCACAGGTGCAATGTAGCCGCACAGAATAAAGCATGCGAGACGGCTGAGGGCTGCATACGGTGGACGCTTTTTCATATATGCAGAGGAGGCATTTGAGACCGTTGTAGGTGCATGAGATAGCGAAGCATCCGCAACATCTGTACTCGAAGATGCATTCTGCTGCTGCTGTATGCGTGCACGCTGTATAACACTGTGTCTCCTGCTGGCTGCGGATCTTTGCATCTCCTGAAGTTGATCGAAACGGAGCTCCATGATTTCCTCCTGTGGGTCGGCACCAGCAGCTGTGTATGGGACCTTGCTCAGGGGCTTGCTCGGAGTACTCGATGCTGCAGCATTCTTCCCAGTGGCTTCACCCTGGCGCGAGGTAGTCGTAGTCGGAAGAGGAGTCATACTGGCCACAGGGTTGGCTGAGGTTGTGGTCGGTCGAGCAGATCCCTCGGAAACACCATCCGTGGCAGTCTCGCGGGCACCCGCTCTGGCTTTTTGGCGTCTTTTCCAGGGGGCTGTTGCCAGCACTGCATCAGCGGCTTGACGGCGAAGATCATCACGTTCGGCACGAGTGTCCTTTGGACCAGGAGCAGGAGCCTCCTCCGGGTTTTCCGGAGCATTTGTATCCAGCCTTCGGGGACGAGCTTTGGACTGTGCTTTGAGACCGCATTTGCCCACCTGCACCGCCTTGTTCACCATTTTTGGTCGCCTTGTCTGAGTACTGACCGAGATACCATGAGCAGTTTCTCGTAGACACCTTGGTGGCGTAGGAGGTCTTCTTGAGCTTCCTGTCCCTGGAGTAGAGGATGGGCTACGAGCCCGAAGTCCTGTTTGTTTAATAAGGACCCCGTCCGAGAATTCACTGACCACTATACTGGACGCAACTGGTCCACGAGCTGTCGGGTCATTGTTTGGTGTGCGTGCCACGGCTGCATTCCTTGGGCTATCGGCAGGTTTGCTGGTCTTTGACTTGGCTTGTAGCTGCCGATGACGTGGTAAAGGTTCACGTGGCTTGAGCTCACCAGTTGATGCACTGGCAGAGGCACCAGCAGTGGTGCGAGTCATCTGCGAAGAGGGAGTCTGATTATGCTGGTCGGAGTCCTGCATGGGTCGACGTCTTGGCAGTGCATCTCTGACCTTAGCCCTCTTCGCCAATGGTTCCACCGGGTCAGCAGAGTCATGAGGCTTCGGGGCGCTGCGAGAATCTCTCCCCATGCTTGCAGGCACCACGCGAAATGGTTCAACTCTGCACGTTAAGGCTACTCGGAATAAGTATGGCCAGCACCACCATCTGTGTTCCGAAATGACACATATCACAGAATGCAGGAATCGACAATATCGTTGTAGGGCCTGATTGTGTACATACTGGCCATAGCAACAGCTGTAATCCCAAATGCAAACAGCAACATGCAAGTCGGAACGTATAGGTGCAAGGGCTTGCACACCGCGAGTCACATCTGACCATTGTGAATGCTGAAGCAGTCGAGCCTGCTGGTGTCGGCTGATAGAATCGGCTTGCCACAGACCTGGGCAGTGAGCAATGGACAGCAGGACAGTAGGGCGAGCAAGCACAGGGTGTGGGCCAGGGTCCGTGATCACAGGCAGCCACAGACCTTGACATGAATCTGTTGCTAGACAGCAGAAGCCTTCGGAGGGTACACGTGAGGACAGGTCGAGCCTTCCCCGGGTCATTGCAGTGTGCAGGCTGCAAAAGTGTACATCAGAGGCAGGATGAGCTGTGGTCCAACCTGGCATATCATGGTAAGCATCCTGGAGCAGACGAGGGGACAACAGGTCCACTGCGTGCCTACAGGCTGGTGGCCCGCATAGCCTGATACAGTCCGTGCAACAGTGGGTGGCCGAAGCAATCCTGATCATGGTCGCGGGCATTCCGAGCGATGCTCGATGTATACTGTCCAATATGAATGCCCAAAGCCAGGACTGCCTCTCGGATAGTTGCCGCGAGGAAATACTGAATAGACACAGGTACGACCTTCCGGTGAGGTCAGTTGCTGCACTGGGCTTGTTCAAGAACGTAGCTGAGTCCCTTGCCGTCGCGAAAACATCACAAACATATGGGCATGTCCTCTGTGAGGGGACGGAGCTGGCATAGGAATGAAGCTGCATAGCGTAAGCAGATCGAGATCCCGCCTCGTCCACGGAGTTTACAAGTGCTGCACGGGGCGACAAGAAGGCCAGCCAAAGAACACGTATATCATGCACCGAAGATGCCAACTGTATCCATGGAGAATGTGCCGTCATATGGTCTTGTTGTCTCCAGGAGTCACAGAAGCACATGTCACACAGGACAGACATGCCTACTGTGGGCCATGATGGCTTGTTCCAACGATAACACGGCAAGCTGCACGCAAGTGAATCTGGCAACTGCAGGCATCCGGCGAAGCATCGATGAGTAGCACATACGTCATGCTGCACTGTAGGAATTTGGCCTGAAGGCGCCGGTCGTGGTCTATTGGTTGTCCCCCGCGCCGGCTCAAGTGATTCAAAAAGCGAAGACCTGAGTACAGCACGGCAGAAGGTATCATGATGCTGGTAACGGTTGTGTGTTGAGACAGAGACCAGTGTAGGTCCCACAAGTAGACTCCCTGAGGCACGAAACAGACCATAGCGGTAGCATGAGCATGCAGCATGGGGCCATGCATGAGTCGTCCTGCGTGTTGTGGATGGATGGAGCGGCCTCCACTTCACACACACTTGAGGGTCATCAGCAGTGCAATGCTTGCAGATAGAAAAGGCACTAGAGGGCCTAGTCCATAGCATGAAGGTCTGCGGAGGAGCTGGCTGCGGTTGCTGTACTGCCTTGCCAAAATCGCACACTGAATACATACTTGACTGAAGCATGTGCGGTAGAGCCATGGGCTGGCCTGCATGACCACGCAACAGGAAATATTCTGCAAATCGCGAGAGTGCCATATCCAGCCGGTTGGTACTCATATGAGTTTCTGCCCGATACCGAACCGCCGCAATAACATCTTCCAGAGCGACGAAACAAATAGCCTGATTGAGGTTATCATTCAGCTGCGATAGAATCGTCGGCCATTCTTGGGCAGTCGTTGGGTCATCCTCTTGCGACGAATACCACATGAATAAATCCAGTTGGTCAAGCAACTGCTGTAGCGGGGCGTGAACCGCAGAGTCCAGGCCGTGGAATAAATGTTCCACTGGATTGCGAGACCTCTCGGAGGCACTTGCTGCAGGCGGCTGGGGAGCATCAGGTGTCGTCTCGGACCCGCATGGTACCATGGTCGCTGAGAACAGAGTGCTCTCGCTCGAATGCCCTTCCAGCTGTCCCGTGCCAATCTCTTCCAGAATGTTCGGAAGGCGGGTCATCTGTCGGGACCTCTGTGGGCCTGCGATGCGGCCCTGCATGCACCACCGTCGTCCCCAAGGTAAGCCACAAGAGTATCACATGCCCGGAGGAAAACATCTCTGCTCAAATTGTTCGCCTATAAGAAGTCTCGAGCAGCAATAGATGTATATATCGACGGATAATGCTTGGCTGTCCAGGCCACCAATTGCAGAGCAGATGGCGACGGAAGCACCTCCGAGGCCCACAAAAGAACTTCAACTGCTGTAAGATCTGCCCAAACCTGTGTGGCCAAATGCAAAATCTGTCTTGAAAGGTCAGTGGAAGCCGGGAGCTCGTCCGTGAGCAAATCAATCGCAACTGCTCTGATATGCAGCGCAGGTGTCAGCGAAATTGTGTTGACAGCGAAGAGCCAAAGAACAGTCGCAGACCAAGCAGTGAAAATCAGAAAGCGCAGTGAAAAAGGAGTACTGGGAGCCAACGCAGAGCGCTCCGCAGCTCCTATGGCAGTGAAGCACCGGACGGCCGATGCTTCCTACCCCGCCCCTACCTACCCCACCCACACTCACAGAAAACAACGCTAGAGCCGAGAAGCTTACGACTCGCTGTTCCACAAGGGGGAGCGATGTGGACATAAAGGCAAAAGGGAGAATCGATCAGATCAAGAACCATCTTTACATGTTCGGGATCAAGGAGGTCCAGCTTAAGGACGGGAGAAATCATTTGCTTTGGGGCAACATGGTCGATTCCGATGCTATCTCGGAACCCCGCACGCCGAAGTTCAGCAGTAAGCCTGCCTGAGCCTGAGAAAATTTCAATGCAGAAGAAGGAATCGATCCTGAAAGCATCAGCACCGCAAAGAGAGTGTCCGGCATCAAGTAGCGGCCCCTCCACAGGGCTCGCAGCCTCAGCAGGACGGGAAGGAAAACAATGCGATTTGCTGGATGCAGCGGCCGATGCTTGCGGGGTTGAGGCGCTCAGTGAAGCATCCAATGAAACACTGGGCGATGGAAAACACGGTGGTGGCACGCTGTCGGGCTCAGGCAGGCATGCGCTTCATGGCTTCTTTGGACACGCATGCGCAGGGTGGTGACCGCCACAACGCATGCAGTTGTGTAGACCCCTGGGGCAGGATTGGCCGACCTTGGCATTAGGACACCCACTAGCCATATTGAATCCCCAGCAGCGGCGCTTTCCGGTCTTAGTCCAAGACGAAAGGCCCTTGAGTTCTTCTGGGAGATTGCTAGGCTCACGCAATGTCTTGGTTTTTCCCTTGCCAGTACCTTTGCGCTGCTTTTTGGTCGGGGTGTCTGTGAGCTCAGGCTTGATCTCGTTGTTTTCTCGTTTGAGGGCACCACCTTCTCGCGGGAGGAGATGAAAAATCACCTTCGGGTCAGTCTGCAAGCGGGCCCACAAACTGTCAAGAGGCAAAGCCCCGGCTGCATCTCGACGAATCCCGTCGGGGGTGAGCTCTGCCAGGCGCATCCAGGCAGCACGGTCCGCATGCAGAATTTGTTGCACAGAGGTGGCACGGCTACCAGCAATGGGCTCCTGATGAAGGTGGCCCAAGAGGAAATCCACGAAGCCCTGAACCCGAAAGTAATCAGTCACACCGATCAAGTCAAGAGCAAGGCTTCGACGGTGCATGGCATGGCGAAGGCTCAGTGCAGTGGAAGTATCGCATGACTGATCGGGGTCACGATCTCTCACGACCAGTGTTGAAGCCTGCACATCCAACTCCTTCCGCGGTTTCTCGGAACGCAGCTCAGCTTCGCGAGTGATGAACTTGGCCGGGGAAAGGTAGCTGATGCAATTGTCAGTAAGGAGCTTCATGCAGAGGTCATACGAGGCGTAGCTGCACTCAGTCTGGCCGGACATGGTGATGCCTCTAAGTTTGTGGGCCTGTGCTCGGATGCGCTCGCGGCGCTCCGCGGGGGCTAACTCCTTGACCTCGTTCTCCTTGTTCTCAACGAGTGCCTTGGTCTGGCTGACCAAGAGGGTCTGTGCTTCGAACACCAGGTGTCGAACCGCTGCGATGGATCCCAACGGCGGGGCTGCACCACCCACCTTGATGAGGGCCGCCAGCGACTCCTCGGTCGGCGTCTCCCCGGGCTGGCAAGGGGCGAACGCTAGTTTCGCCATCGTGTCGATGGTCTGTGCAACAAGGCGATCCACTGCTTCCTGTGGGAGGCCCACACGTTTGGCTCGCTCCAGGAAGACGGCCTTGGATTCTACAAGGGTTTGCGCCATGGTCTCCGATCCTATGTGCACTCACAGAAACTGGTCTTGAGACATACACATGCAAAGGACCAATCATGCACACAGCGATTGCAAGCTTTGCATGTGGACAACGCACTGCTGGTCATCATCGCATCGCCGAGCTTGGTCCGCCCGTCCGGACCCCGTGGCAGCCACGAGGTAAACCAAAGGTTCCACTGAAACCCTTGTTCGCCCGGACGAGTCTCCGAACCACGCTCTGGATCGGTGCGCAATTGACCACTCGACCATCAGACATGACTGTGAAGCTCAGCGAAACACTGAAGTGGTGATCCGCAAGCATCGCACGTCACACGACATTTCTCACTTAGAAGCGCCCTGCTTCTTAGCGATGAAACTCGCCATGGCCCCTGCGTCGCGGAGGGGTCGGCCCGCTGTGCATTGCTTGCACAATCATCTACTGCTGAAGACCTTTCCACTGAAAGGCTTCATATTGTCAAGCGACCTTCCACAGATCAACTTGCCAGCAGAACCCTTCGCTCGTGAGTGAAGGCTCTTGGTCTTCGGGTTCTGAAAAATGTCTAAATCAGGGCCCATGTTCACAGACGGGATCGCATTCTGCGCTTCGCCTGCTCCAAAACTCTCATAATGAGTCTCTTCCTCGGACTCACCAGAACTCTCGGACTCGCTGCTCGAGGCTTCGTGAACGTCTTCTTGTTCACCCAAGTCCTGATCATCAGGAGGTTCTACGCCTCCATCCTCGGCCAGCTCAACCTCGGGAGCACACTCGAAGCTCTCGTGAGATGGCGAAAGATTGGCACGACCAATGGGTGCCAAAGAGAAGCGCGACTCACGGATGGTCGCACCTTCTGCAATCATCCCGCTCTTTGTGCGATCCGGGTGGAAAACCCCCTGCCGGATGGCACCAAGACATTCTGCAAGGTCTCGTAGCGGCTGCGCCTGCACTTCGCGAGCGTAAGCTTCTTGCGTTTTCCCACTTGGACCTAAGCTATGGTGTCCCAGGACAAGTTGTGTCCTCTCACCGTATCCAGCTTTCGAGGTCCAGGAAAGCGGCGTTGCCTTCAATCCGTGCGAGGAGAATGTAAGATCTTCTTCGGCCGCTTGCAGCCGTGAAAGCAACGCCCTGATCCATGTAGTGGTCTCGTTGGCATCGATGGCGTCCCCGCTCCAAGAGTAATCGCAGGCCAGGCGGGGGAGCAACGGCCCGCGATGCCCTTTCTCGAAGTCGAAGCCAACGGCCTTCGCTGCCTCTACCCAAGCGGCGCCCCAAGGCTTCTGGTGGAGCCCATGATACGGCGCAACCAAAATGAGCACGGCCCCCGGTCCACTGCTCAACCGGCAATTCTTGTGCTCATAAGTTCTGACCTCGATGAAACCCGTATCGCCATCAAGGTCAAGCTCAAGCTTCGAAATGTTCCTCAGATCTGACACTCGAGCCCTGGAGTAAAGCTGGAACAAGAAGACCCCAGTAGCGTACCTGTCCACCTTGTCAAGGGCTCCCTCTATCAGCGCTCCTTCGAGGAGAAGCACCTCCTCGACCTTCAGGACTCTCGATCGTTTCGGGTCACAGGTGCGAATGTTGGCTCCTCGCAGCGCTCCCTTGACCCAAGGGTTGTCGCTGATTCCTTGTTCGACCTCAATTCCTAGAACATGTTCCAGGAAATTCACAGTCTCCATAGCCTCACGAATGGCACTGTTCCTGGCTTCGGCTGCAAGTGGTTTGAGGAAGCTCACAAGAAACTCGAGGCTCACCGGGAAAGCTTTCACATGATGCTTGTCGGCCCAGCAAATGAATCGTGCAGAAAAACGGGCTCGCTTAAGCAGAGTCGATGTAGCTTTCCCAGCCAAGGCCTGCGCCACGACCCCCAAGGGGTCAGATTCGCCTTTCGCCCAAATGAGAACCCCCAACCTCGAGGCACCAGGTGAGTGGCTCAGCCGCCGACGTAGGACATTTTCTCGATCGACTCCGGCCTTCTCGCCTGCCTGTAGCCTGGGTTTCTTAAGCACAGTCTCAAAGACGGGCACAACCTTGGCACACGGCAGAGACACCGGCAGCGGCTCGACTGAATCACCCGGCCGCCTGTACTGCGTGGCTGGCGGCGGCACGACTCTAGGCACCTTGACGCTATGGAGGTCGACGCTTCTGCCTGGTTTTCCTGAGAAAATGGCAGACAAGGCCTTATTCCTGTCCCAGGGATAGCTGAGTGGGGCCACAACATCATAAGTCAAGTGCTGGAGGTGCCGCTCGAAACGATCACAGAGATCGGAGGCCGAAGCTTCAGCAGCCATCGAAGAAACCCCACGAGCCAAGGCCCTGAAGCGAGGCCGTTCTCACGGCAGGGGCTGCAGACCAGCCCTAATTGCAACGAAGAGGATTTCCTGCAAGAAATCGCTGCGTGTGGCAGCACTCGAAGTCAGCAGAGCAGTTCTAGCTGCAGGATCTAGGAAGTTCCACAGCGCAATCGTCACTCGCACTTTGCACACGGGTCCCGAGGCAAAGACGCAATCAAAACTGAGATCGCTAAAGTGAGAGCTCGCTGAGGTACTTGCCAAAGAAGCTGAGGACTCACTGTCCTCGTATTCCATGTAGCGACCCGCCCCACTCGCTAGAAGCACCAGATTAGCACCCAGGGCCTTTTAGAAAGATCCTAGACGTGTCTACCGGGTGGCCTGCCACACCTACCAGTGCTCACTCCCCTTGCAGCGAGAGCAAGCCCTCAAGCCACCATTCCGTCGGGGGAACCCTGGCAACGGTGTGCGGCACCACAGCAGAAGGATCTCGAGGCTCACACAAAATTTTTCCGACTGTGATTCGGAAAACTTGAGCCAAAATGGGCGAACGACTGGTTCACCCCCCTTGAAGGCACTCGAAGCCTTACTCACCCCCCATTCAGTCCGCGCCGAGTGACAACGCCAACGGCACTGCGTTAGGCGGGAGGTAGTGGCGCTCTGCGCCAAGCCTCTCAGTTTCTTCCCACCAGTCTCTGCTGGGTCCATCAGCAATGTTGCTGTCGATGCAGGCGAATTTCTTGTGCGCGGCTTGCACTGCGAGCTGCTTATATAGGCGCTCTTCAGGTCCCAGGTCCTGCCCACGATGCGATGCGCCTGCTCTGCGGGCACCCCCTGGCGCAGCCATTCCAGGCATACTGCCAAGAGCTCGTCGATGCTATCGACCTGCACCTTCTCTGTGGTGCCGCAACAGCTGTTGATGAAACTGCTTTTGAAATTGTCGATGGGGCGAACCTTACCCTTTTGCACTACGCCAAAACGAGACGACACTATCGTCTCGTGCAGGCTAGCTGGCGAGAAGTCTTCGAGAGAGAGCCAGCCCTGCTGGCTCTCCTCTAACGTGGTCTCCCAGACTTTGTCGGAGACGCCATCCTGGGAAGGGCGTAGCGCGCTGCGCACGCCCCGCATGCCTATGCCGTGGGAGTTCTGCAGGATGGACTCCTCGTCCAAAGAGGGTGGCAGAATCTGCACGGGCCACAGCCCGCTGGGCTGTATCCAGCCGAGAAGGGGGAAACCTTCTCGCACCTGCGACTGTCGGGGAAGCTGACTTCTCCCAGAAGCTTCTCTAAAGCGATTGTCTGCTTGGGCAGGGTAACACTGTTAACCTGGGCGTCGTTGGAGGCGCGGGCCTTGGCCTCAAGCGCCTTGCACTCTGTGCAGGTCTTGGAGATATGCATTGACGCCATGGTGCGGCGCTTAGCAAGGGAGACGGTGTCCTCGTGAACTTCGGCGGAGATGGCGCGCTTGAGGGACAGGGGCACCGCCTCAATGTCCCTGGCCGGGTGATCTATGCTCTGCGCACCCAATGCAGAGGTTGCAAGGGGATCGCGATGATTGCTTTCTGAGTGGCTTCGATCCACTGGACGAGCCTGGAACCTTTGGGGAAGCAAGACCACGAAGGCGGTAACTTCTGTGGAGTCTTCCATCCCCGAAAGCACCGCGCTGCGGCACCTTCCAGAGTGACCTTGTCACTGAAATCTGGCTCGTAACGCAAGCGTCGCAGACGCTTGCGGGAGAGGGGCGCTGCCCGAAGCTGTGTGGCGCATTTCTCTGCGGCCAGGGAGACCCACGCAGAGCTGAGCTGTGTGGTGTACGCGCTTTCCAGGGACGCGGACCACACTGTGGACCCGTCCAAGGAGGCTCTGCCCCATGGCAAGTGCCTGTGGCCTCCATCGCAATCTCTGCTGAGGCCCGAGAACCAATCTAGGTTCGAGAGGAGGGCCGTACGCTTACGGCGGAAGCTGCCGAACATGCAAGCGTCAAACTCCACTCTGTGGGCAGATCGTAGTGTCTCTCTGAGACACGGCATCCGCCAGAGCAGGCTTCTGGCTGGATTCTCGATGGACCAACAGACGTCTCGCTGAGACAATCTGCGGCAGCACTGTGCCATGAAAGCTACGAGACTGTTCGCGCTGCGAACTCTGGCGGCATCGACCCCACTGAGGCCTTTGAGGCCGGCTGGGCGCGACTCGCTGCGCAGGGGGCCAGGCGCTCCAGGCCTGGGGATCTCTCTAGCTCTGCTAAAGGTGCGGGCCCAGTGGACCCAGCGCAAGTCTTCATGTGAAAGCGCTGCTTTCAGGAGGTTGCGGCCTAGCTGCGTGCAGAGATCGAGCTGCAAGACCTTGAGGCCTCTGGCCTTGGTCTTGTGATCCACCGCGATGTTCGAGAAACCTTTCTCGATGGCCGCCTTGCTAAGGCGGCCCAGGCCGCAGAAGACTTCTACGAAAAGTGGTGGTCTGAATCCTGCTCGCTGAGCCGGTTCTGCGGGAGTGGTGTCTACAGCAGCGTCCGCTGGGACACTTTGCTGCTCTGCCAAAACAAGTTGCGGGGCGGTCTCTGGCGCGAGAGTATCCGTGGGCGTTGGCGCTGCCACCGGAATCCCTGGCTTACTGGTGGCAGGGGGCGGTGACGGCTCTGCCGGAAGGGACTGAAACGGCGCGACCACGGGGCCGTGCTGCTGAGAGGGCCTGCTTTGCGCAACTGCGCAATTTCCGGGACGCACGCTGGCGGGGGGCTCCAGCGGCTCTGCCGCGCCCGTTTTAACGTCGGCTAGTCAAGCAGCCCCAGCTTCTTTGGGGCAGTCTGCGGCTCCATGCTCGGAGCTGCCGCAGCTCATGCACTGATGCAGTCCTCGATCGCACTGCTTCGGGGAGCCGGAAGTCTCCAGGTCACACCCGCACTGCAGGTTAAAGCCGTAGCACAGGCGCTTGCCGGACTTGGAAATGCTGTTCAAGTGGCGAAGCTCCTTTGGCATGCTCGGCGGCCTGGAGCGGTCTGCGCTCTCGTGGCGCTTGCTTTTTCCTTTTCCGCTGCCTTTTCCTTTGCCGCCCTTCTTACCTTTGCCAGTCGTGCTACGACTGCGGTCTTCGTCGCCGCGGGTGTAACCGCGGCCCTTGCCCTTGCGACCCCTGTCCGCCGCTGGCGAGGGGAGAAGGTGCATCGTGACGATAGGATCGGACCACAGACTCTCTACTAGAGAGTCCAACGGCCGCTTACCATCCTTGTCCGGTTTGCACCCCTTGCGACACTCTCGCGCGAGCAAGGTCCAGAGTTCTTTGTCAGCACGTACTACGTGCCAACTGCTTCCGCGTTCCATTCCCGGCGGCGCTGGCCGGTTCAGGACAGAGAAGAACTGTCTCACGAGTCTCTCGTGAATCGTAAAATCCAGCACGCCGACTCTGTCGAGCGCGAGACCCCTGCGCGTCAGGGCCTGCGTGAGCTTCAGCTCGTTTCCTATCTCGACGTGCACGCTGTGCTCCTTCTTCTTCAAGGTGAGCTCCCCAGACTCTAGGGAGAGGAAGTCCCTGTCACGCCTCACTGAGGCGATCTCGGCATCCCTGCTGACGCACTGCGACGGCGGGATGTAACGAACCATGCCGTCCTGCAGCATGAGTGCGGCTTTGTCGACGAGACTGTGTGCGGGGTCGTAGTCGCCCTCGATGACGACACCCCGAAGGCGCGCGACTTGCGCGGTTCGGCGCTCCTCACGCTCGTGCACAGGCAGACTTTTGGGGGTGACGCTGTCACCGTCCATTCTCGACTTGAGATCCTGGATACTGAAAGTCAGACTTTCAAAAGCCAGTCGCCGCACTGCGGCTTTGGTACCCAGGCTGGGGTCCGTGGTGAAGACCTTCTTAAGAAGTTCTTCAAACCTGGCATCGCTGATGCGGTCAGGTTGGTCAGCGACGCTGTACGCTAACGTTCCGAAAGTGCGGATGTCTGCCGCGTGGAGCTTCGCCGACTCGGCGTCTCCGAGGAGCTGTCGAGCTCTGCTCGAGAATTCGGCGACGCTGTCGACGAGGTTTGCCATCGTCCTGACAAGCAGGTGAAAGGAAAAAGAGAGAGAGAGAGAGAGAGAGAGAGAGAGAGAGAGAGAGAGAGAGAGAGAGAGAGAGAGAGAGAGAGAGAGAGAGAGAGAGAGAGAGAGAGAGAGAGAGAGAGAGACACTGCCACACTGTGCAACTCCAGAGAAACCTACTAGGACCTTCAGAAGACTCTCGCGCACTCTTTTTCACTCTTACTCAAAAGACTTGCTGCTCCAGCAAGTCTTGCAGTGCGGCCGACCTGGTGCTAGGCTGCGAACTTCGCAGGTCATATATTTTTCATTCAAGCAACGGCCGCAAAGGAGGCGTGTGGCATTCTCGCCACGACTGGCATGCAACTTGCCGCTGGCAAGATGGCACCACGAGGCGGCCCATTCCGGGAGAGTGCACTGCACTTCCCTCTGAAGGCGGTGGTTCTCTTCTACCGCCGGCTCGCGAGCGAACTCGTCCTCTCTATCAGTGTCGCTGGCACTGTCCTCCGTCTCGCTGAGCTCTTGTTGTTGGCTCACTTTCAAGGCCTCTACCCCCACTGGGGGAGAGGAGCCTGAAGACGCTTTTCTGTGAGAAACCTTGCTAAGGTTTTCGCGCTTCAGGTTGAGCTGGCTACTAGGAAGGGCGAACTGCTGTCCAAGTGGCTGGTCCGGCGAGAAGTCGCCATCTCTGATGGCGACGAGAACCTCTTCCAGAGCCCGCGCTGCGGGGATGAGCACGTTACGGCTGTACGTTTCTGTGCTCCGAGCGCTGTCGTGAACGTGGTGAGCCAGCAACCTGCGGAGGTCGAGGTTCACTCCGGCCTGCGACGCCCAGGTAAGACAGGTGGCTTTGAGGCTGTGACTGCTAAGGCGCTCTGCGCGATCGCAGCGCGCGTTGGTAAGCGCGCTGCGCAACCAGTGTGTGATTTCCTGGGAGTTCATCGGACGATCCGCTAAATCGCCGTCAGAGGTAAAAGCAGGGATC